ACAAAGAAGACATGGATAAGGAGAAACTTTATTTGAAAAGTTGATTGCAAGAGCACAGAAAGGGACTCTGGCAGTAGGGAGAGGGGTTATTACAAAAGGGAGAACACACTGACCCTGACAACTGTAAGTTGTATCTCAGAAGTCAGGCAGAAAAGGGCTTTTCTTTTGTGGGTGAAGTGAAAGAGGCCAGTACGGTGTGAGGAAGTGAGATAAATGGGTAATAGTGGCAGGATGGGAAGGTGACCAGAGAACACTACTCTGAGCTTGGCCTGTTTTCCAAAGGGGCCTTCGGGCAGAGCTTGTCTGCTGGTTCAGATCAAAGATGCATCAGAGTTCAGGGGTCTGGAGAGAGGAGGGAAGTGGAACTAAAGTTTAACTCAGGAGATAGGTCTTTTTCTGATCCATGAGTGGAAACGAACAGTTCAGCTAATTTTTAAGGGGGAAAACAATGGGAATTTGGAGGGTTTGTGTGGGTCCTTGCTGTAGGTATTTAAAGGGTCATCTGTGAGTCTTATCTAAGTCATGTGGGTAAGAGTGGTCCTTTACAAGAAGCACTTTCCAGAAACACAAAAGGATGGGGAGATTTCTTAATCATCACTATTTTTAGGTGCACAGAACTCAGGTAAAATTTAACATTGTCGCAGTGCTTAGCACTTTATCTGAGATTTTAATCTTTACAATGACTCTGAAATGTAAGGACTTTTATAAGCCACACCTGGTAAATGTGAAGCTGAAGACTAGAGATGCTAAGAAACCACTGTGTTCACCTTGCTGATAAGATGGGGTACTGTATAATGACACTCTTTCAGAACCCATAGCAAGTGGGACATGGGAGGTGTTGTGGGACTAAGGGCAAATATGAGAACTGTGCCGCCTTTGTTGTTTATTGTTTATACCATCCAGAAAGTCCAAAATACATACTCAGTCTATCTAATGCTTAGGGCTTTTCTTTTCGTGAGTACTGACTGTGGCTACCTTGAAGGATTTTTTTTGTTGTTTTGTTTTGTTTCGTATTTTTCTTAAAAAAACGTACATTAGGGTATCTTATAGAATGCGTGGAGGAAACTGAGAAGACAGTAGTAAGGGCTTTATGCCCAAGAAATTGTCTGTGGCTATTCCCTCTAGCAGTATTTCTTACCTGGGCCCCAGTGACATTTTAAACAGGACACTTTTGTGAAGGGCAGGACCATCTGTTTCTGATGTGTGTATTATAGGCCTTTGCCCCTAAGTCCCAGTAGTGACCCTAGTCATTGTGACAACCAAATAAACATGCTAAATATTTCCAAATGCCCCACAGGGAGGTGATGCAACATCTGCAGCTTGAGAACCTGATGGAGCAACCAAGTGTATTACTGTTATTGTGACTCAGCGCTAAGGACATTCAGTATCCACATAATTAGTTCTGAACCTCAGAATCCCTTGACTTTTGACCTTGTCAAAGGTTAATTTCTTGCCTGATCAGGGTGGCCTGGGCCAGGTCGTGCCATTTTCAGTGTGATGGCTCCCTTGGTAGCCTGTGGCTCCCTGGCTATTGTTACTGAGGGGGATACAGTTCCAGAGAAGGTGGGTCTTATTCAGATAAAATTTTATATATATATATATCTCCACAATAGTTAAATTCATCTACTTATTACTGACTCATTTGGCATGAAGTATACACAATCTGCTGGCTGCTCTCGTGGGTGATTTTCATACACTTTCTTATTTAATTCAGTCAGCCTTCACCCACAGTAGGTATTAAGATCTGTAAGACACTGAAGAAGTGGCTGCTATGTGAGTTTGTAAAGCATCTTGCCAAGGCGAACAGTTTCCCCCCTGCTGATTTTCTATTGGGAAGCAAGAAGTAGTCTTGATTTACCTTAATGATAGTGAGACTTAAAAATTGTGTGAAATTCCTAATAATTTTTTACTCAAAATGTATGTATTGAGTGTCTTAGATGAAAAGCCTAAGACACAGGAGGGTTGATTTGACTCGGGAGATAGAACTTACTTGACTGGGGAGCTACGTGGCTAACAGAGTTGAGAGGGAAAATAAAAGTTTCTGATTGTCACATTATTCATTTATGTACTTTTTGTGAACAAAAGACAAACAGAAGTTAAGTGGAAACAAGAAACCCCTAAAGGCATATAAAAGTCATATAAATTGCTTTTCCTTTTTAACCTAGAATGCTATCAAGTGACCTTCAATAAATCATATCCCTCTGTGGACTTTAGATTCTTCCATATAAAATTAGATGTTTGAATTGGATGATTTCTAAAGCCTCTTAATTTCTATCACTTCAGAACTGTTTGACCACTTAAGATGGAAGATGAATATGACTATTTGACAATCCACATTTATTTTGGTCCATTTTTGAAACCTATTAAATATAAATGAAATAAAAAAGGCATAAATTTATGAAGATTAAAAGAATGGGAGTGTGAGACAATAATAGGCAAGTGATGTCTGTAAAATTTTGGTGCTTGCAAAATAAGTGGATACATGGTAATGGAGACCAGAGAGAGCAGAACCCTGAGCTGGCAGGCAGAGAAGAATTCAACCAGAAACATGTTCGTTACTGTGGGAAAGCTCAAGAGTACTCAGGAATTGTAGGTAGCAATTACTGTAAAGGTGGATTTATGGAGTACCATTGACGAGAGTAGACTTGGTCGCAAAGTATAAGAAATAGTTAGATCACAAGATGTTCTCATCTTATAAAACCAGTCATCTGCCCCTCCACACTCGAGCAAAAAAACAGAGGTTTCCTGAAGAGGTTGAATTGGAGCACTGTGAGGCTCTAAGACACAGACAGATACAACTGAGGATGAGGGTGATATCTCACAGTGAAAATGAGGGAATTGTTTCCTTTAAATAAAAGTGTCTGTGTGCTTAGTGATGGGATTCCCAGTATTCTGGCAGCTAGGCTTACACCTCCTCTTAAGAGATTAAGGAGTTTCTATTCAGGGAAGTGCCTCACCTAAGTGAAAAGAAATACAGATACTGATATTTCAGTAGCTCTTGATAAAGTAATTTGGCTGCCATATTTACAGCGAAGATTACTGTTCTCAAGTCCCATGTATGAAAACAGAACTTTCAGTCAGCAATCATGAATTTTTAAGAACAGGTGGTAGAGGATTACCAGACATCTGAGGAATGCCCATAACAGAAACCAGCTCACAAAATGGGGAAGGGGAGACTGTTGGAAGAAGCAGGTGCTTTAAACTCTAAGGTGGGGAGGGGCTGCTTTCATCAATATCTTCAGAAAGGTTGAGAAACTTCATTGTTTCCACAAAATATAAACAAAACACCGTAAAGAAGAAACAGCTATGAGATAGTTGTATTAGTAGTTAAACATTTGGTAGCAGAGATGAAGGAATCAATAGATACATAGGAAATGTAGCTGAATTTTCCAGGAAGTAAAACAAGAGAGACACAAAAAATAAGAGAAATTTAGAGAAAGTGATCCATCTCAGGATGTCCAGTGTCCAAATAATAGAATTTTCAGAAAGATAAAGCGGAGTAAATGGGAAGCTAGAATCAGGTGGGATTGTGTGTGGGTCAGTACCCAGTCCCACCTGATTCTTGCTCCCCATTTACTCCACTTTTTCCACCCTCACATAGTATTGGACTTTGTAAACTCTGCAAGTATAACTTTTATATTTAAAAATATTTAAAAAATCATAAATATATTTAAAAATAACTTTTATATTTAAAATATTTTATATTTTAAAATGTAATTTTTTTTGCTTACTAAAAATAATCTTGGCTAATAACATTTTAGCAAGCAAAAAATAATTACATGCCGAGATTAAAAATATGTATTTGAGTTTTGGTTGAAGACTGATAAAATTAAAAGTGGGAAGGAAAAAATACCATTTAGATGTTTTAAAGTGCTAAGTACTTATTTCAGGAAAATGACTTCAATTGCCATAGTTAGGTAAACTGAGGAACAGTTTGCTCTTAGAAACAGCAACAGCACAGCAGTAGCATGAATCGCGGAAGAATCGGCGGCTATGTGAGTTTGTAATCAAGCATCTTACCAAGGCGAACAGTTTCCTCCCTGATGATTTTCTATTGGGAAGCAAGAAGTAGTCATGATTTACCTTAATTATAGCAAGGCTTTTAAAAATTGTGTGAAATTCCTAATAATTGTTTTATTCAGGATGTATGTATTGAGTGTCTGTTACCTGGCAAGCACTGTTTTAAACCGTTTATTTATATTGACTCATTTAATCATCAGAACAACCCTATAAAGGTAGGTCTTGTTGTCATTCCTGTTTTACAGATGAAGAAACTGAGGTGTAGAGAAGGTAGGTAACTTGTGCAGGGTTACTCAGCTGGCAAACAGAAAAGGCTAGGTTTTAAATCATGGTAGTCTGGTTACAGAAGACATACCTTTAATTTAATTCACTACTATTCTGCCTGTTAAATAAGTAACCCAGACATAAAAGGTTAAGTAAATTGCCCACATTCCCGTAACTAGTTATTTTAGTAGCAATGAATTTTGTTATAAGGCTTCCATCAGCCATTGAATGCTTAAGAGCTCATCTAGGCCAGTCCACTCATTGATTAAATAACCGGATCTAAGGGCTGAGCAGGTAGAAGAACCAGGTGCTCCACAGTGACCAGTCTTGTGCATGTTAGAGACACCTGGTGTCATTTTTCCTCACCTACATTCTCATCCTAGAAGTGTTTATTCTTGGTGATATTTAATGTGTGCTAAAACTCTTAGGATAGCAACCAAGAAATTCTAGGAAACTAGCTTCATTCACAGTTGTGGAATACCGCAATCACTGAAATAAATATAAAGAAATATATCAGGGTTTTTTATTTTATGTTTAGCCCTGTTTTACGTGGTTTGTGGGGAACATCATATTTTTGATGCATGTAGCAGAAACTTAAATATTTACTTTTAATCAATGATGTGTAGCACACGACAGTGTTTCTTAATGTTCAAGATTAAGAAATTACTTTCAGATATAAATGCTACAAATTTGGTTGGTTTGTTTATTTTTCCTAGTTCAACTTTGTGGGAAAACTTTTGGGTCCACGTGGCAATTCTCTGAAGCGTTTACAAGAAGAAACTTTGACAAAAATGTCCATCCTTGGAAAAGGTTCCATGAGAGACAAGGCCAAGGTAATATTAATTATAGAAAATAACTACATTGTGAGTCATGTTATATTATATACTCTTATTCATTATATTCATACATAATTACATAAGGTGATATATTTGTGATACTGTTTAGAAAATGGAGTCGCTCTGGTCTGCTTCAGAATATGTAGTATCTTAAACCTGCATCTATAACCTTCATAGTCAGACATTAAATAAAAGCATAATACTTAAAGTTTTGATTGCATTTGTAATATGTCACCTCATAGGAAGTAAGATAATATTATAATTATCATGAAAAGAGATAAAAGCTGTGTATAGTCTCATCCATTACTCTTTGCATTTTAGATTGTTTTGGAGTCTTTCTGTGCAGACATTTCTTGTAGTTGAGTTTATAATGTATATACTTTTATTTCTTCTTTTTGTCATTTATTTGATATATGCATTTTAGAATGTTATTAAAATTGATTTTTAAGTGTTTTAATGATTGCTTATTGTTCTAACATAATTGTTTTACTTAGATGCATTCACATTAATAGTCATTTTTTAAAGTAGCTAAATATATACTGTTATTTTTATTGATCATTTTCTTAAATATGCCAATTCTTAAAGGAATTTTCACATATCATAATGTGTGTCACTTACATTGTTTTTTAATGAGACGTGTTGTTTTCTCATTATTAAAAGATTTATATTACTGAGAACCAAATCCACATTGAGCGATTACATAACATGAAATGTTGGACAGTGATATTTTAAACAAAGGTTGTTTAGACACAATCCAACATCCTCACACAAAAAGCCATCTAAATAATAGTTTTTATAATAAAAATGGCCAGTATTTGTTTATTGATATCTTTGTGATACTGTTTATTGAACTGCCACTGTGAGTCAGGCACTGTGTGAAACATTTTACATGCATTTCTTCATGTTATCCTTGGTAAAATGATGGGAGATAATATTTTCCTTACTCTACATGTAAGAAAACTGAGATTCAGAGAGCTTGAGTGTATTATCTGGGTTAATTTGAGAAATTTTTTGTTTTGGGTTAACAATTTAATAAAACCATGGTTTTCTGACACCAGCACCCATATATTTTCGACAGCATTGGAAAACTTAACATGTATAAGATTTATATGGGATACTGTTTAAAAATATAGATTCCCATACCTCTACTTGTTTAGGGTAGAACCTCAAAATGAATTTTCAGTAGGTGTTTAAAATGATTCCAGTTCATGGCCTGGTTTTTTAATTACTCACTAAACATTGCTGTCTTACATTATGACTTTAATTCCCTGACTCATCTATTCTGGTAGTAGGAGAAAATGAAAACATGTATTTGGTCAATTGGTCAGAAATTATATGTATTTTTCAGGAAAGTACTCTACCCTTGCTGATATCTTAGTTCATGCTCTAATGAGGCCATCTGGTAATGGGCTGCATGATATGAGCAGTGAAACCCACAAGGAGGAATCCACTCTCCTACTTATTTAGTTTGTTGTTAAGGGGTTGATCAGAACCACTGCTTGGTCAGAAGCAGTGTTTTGTAGCATACAGTGGTAGTAATCAGGGCATCCACCAGTAATTTTGCAGGTAGAAGGGAAAGAAGGAAGGCACATCTTTATCCGGATTATATGCCTAAGTTAACAGCAAGGGCCTGACTATCCATATAATGAAAGGGATCCTAAATATTATCAGCTTGGTGTCAGGGCTTGGCCGGCCTTCCAGATTATGTTGTATATCAAGTCTCTCTGCTGTTGGCATATTGCACACTCAGCATGTCAATAGCTGGTCATCTTTTTTGAGGGGGGTCTGTGTTGTGAAGTAATGTGTGACTTCCTTCCCAGTTGCTGTGGCCATTTTGCTGATGAGCACCTTGAGTTGCATGGAGGCTGCTGGGGAATGAGGTGCTCTAGCATCTGCTGCAATGGGTCCTCTGGACAACCTGGCTGAGTGCCTGCTTTGCATTTGCATGGGACACCCTGTTTTTACACTCTTGACCATCTTTTCCAGACCATTTATCACCCATTCCCTGATATCTTTCATTTCTGTTTCTTTGGGAATCAATATGGGGATTCTGCAAGTGGCTGAATGTGTATGTTCCATCAAGACTCTTGGGAACCAGGGAGGGGAGTAGCATACATTGTGGATTTACAATCCACTGAACCCACTGTCAGTGGACTGGGACCAGAAGTCTCCTTTACCTTCTGATCCCATAAGCCCCACTCTGCTTGGTGGCCTTCAGTGGAGTGGCATTAGGTCAGAATCAGTTCTGTTAATTCTCAAATTGTCTAAGTGTTTCATCTCCTCAGTGTAAAGTCACTCTAGTAAAATGTCCCAGATCCTTCCTAGGATTTGAGATTCACAGAATTTGAATATATTATCTGGGTTAATTAGAGAAATTCATTGTTTTGGGAGGACTAGAAGGAAGCTCGCACACTGGGAGATACCATAGTTACTGTGTGCAAATGGCCCTTTTCCCCGGGTTTAACATAGCTCTCTTATTCTCTGTATGTTTGGTTGAGCAGAGATTAATCATAGGCTAGGAAATGATAAGGAAGAGACCAGGAGATGATGAAGATGATGATGATGAGGAGGAGGAGTAAAACGTGAGAATTGTCATCTCCTTTCAAGGAACTACCTCAGCTGTTTAAGCAGCATGGAAAAAGCCTCACCAGACAGGCTTTTGCTGTGTGAAGGCTCTGTGGCATTTTAGTATTTGAATACTCAGAATTGTTTGAATCCTCCCAAATGTCAGTTTATTCTCAGGTTTAATTTGTTCTTAGGTTTTTGCTGTATCCAGACACTGTCCTGAGCCTCACATAAGAGACAGCTGGGCATCTGCATTGTTATTCAGCCGCACACAGACTCGAACTCTGCATCTGTTTGTTGGCCCCGTCAACCTGTGTCTGCAAGCGTTGCAACTTAGCCTACTCCAGGCTCTTTGGGCTTGAACTGATAACATAAATTCCCAAGTCTGTCATTTTCTTCTCTAAACTCTTTTCCACCTGCCTTGTCTACATCTTGCCCATCTGTACCTTCCTCCCCATTTTTTGCCCATACTGTGCTGTAGCCTCTGTCACATGATCCATCAGTCATTCTTTCTAAAGCATTTTACTGAAAGTGACCACAGGTGATCATTTAAGTAACAGGTTTGCAGCTTAAATGGATACTGGCTGGGCGCTGTGCTGCCTGTAATCCTAGCACTTAGGGAGGCCAAAGCAGGTGAATCAACTGAGGTCAGGAGTTGAGACCATCCTGGCCAACATGGTGAAACCTTGTCTCTACTAAAAATAAAAAAAATTAGCCAGATGTGATGGTGCATGCCTGTAATCCCAGCTACTCCAAAGGCTGAGACAGGAGAATTACTTGACCTGGGAGGCAGAGGTTGCAGTGTGCCAAGATCAAGCCAGTGCATTCCAATCTAGGTGACAGAGTGGGACTCTGTCTCAAAAAAAAAAAAGATACTACTAGTATCCCTATATTATGTTATAATCTGCTATATTATAATCAGCCCATCACTGCCTGAATTCTTAAATATTGATTTCAGTTGATCCTTTTTACTAGTTTAATTTTAATTTTCAGCAGTTATCAGTTAATAATATGTTCATTTCTAAAGAGATTTCCATTACTTTGTGTTATAATCTCATGCTTTTAGATTTTCAGTGTTCACTGTTTAAAGCCTAATGTGAATATAATTTATTTTCTTCATTTATTTGCTACATTGATGAAATAATGGGAGTCATTACTGCCGTATATCATCTAGTTACATGGCATAATAATCATGACAGTGCTCTGACCGCTCTTGAGCCTTCGGTTTATTCCAAACATCATGCTGGATGTTTTGCCCACATCATCTGTTCTGTGCAATAATAGAATAAATAAAACTATAGTTATGTAATAATTATTATTACTACATTTATCATTTACCGAGTGCTTATTATGTGCAAGGCTTAATCCTAAGGACGTTGTGTCTGTTAATTCCTTTATTACTATAACAACCTTGAGGTAAGTACTATACTATTATTTTCCCCGCTTAAAAATCACCCCTTTAAGATGAGGGTAATGTAACCTGCCCAAGTCATACAACTAATGTTGGGTTTGGGATTTAATGCAGAATTTCAACATCTGTGCTTTTCTCCAAATAATGCATTGCCTCTCATTATTAATCTATAGAATCGTTTGGTAATATCTCCTTACTCTGGAATTGTACCATGGCTACAGCTATGATAAATCCTCTCTGTTGCAATTTAAGTTTTTGATAGAAATAAAAATGCTTGAATAAGAATGAATAATTATAATCACTCATTAAAATCATTATTTTGGTACTCTATTAGAAAAGGATAAATGTTTTTTCAATAATTTGTGCTTTCAGAGATGAATTGCTGTACACAGAATACTTTTTTTTTTTTTGTGAGACGGAGTCTTGCTCTGTCACCAGGCTGGAGTTCAGTGGCACGATCAACTGATTGCAACCACCACCTCCCGGTTTTAATCGATTCTCCTGCCTCAGCCTCCAGAGTACCTGGGATTATAGGTGTGTGCCAGCACACCCAGCTTATTTCTATATTTTCAGTAGAGATGGGGTTGCATCATGTTGGCTAGGATGGTCTAGATCTCCTTACCTTGTGATCTGCCCACCTCAGCTTTCCAAAGTGCTGGACTTACAGGCATGAGCCATTGCGCCTGGTGAGAATCCAGTTTTTTTTTTTTTTTTTTTTTTTTTGAGGCAGAGTTTTGCTCTTGTTACCCAGGCTGGAGTGCAATGGCGTGATCTCAGCTCACCGCAACCTCCACCTCCTGGGTTCAGGCAATTCTCCTGCCTCAGCCTCCTGAGTAGCTGGGATTACAGGCATGCACCACCATGCCCAGCTAATTTTTTGTATTTTTAGTAGAGACGGGGTTTCACCATGCTGACCAGGATGGTCTCAATCTCTCGACCTCGTGATCCACCCGCCTCGGCCTCCCAAAGTGCTGGGATTACAGGCTTGAGCCACTGCGCCCGGCCGAGAATCCAATTTTTAAAACTTGAGCAATGAGAGAGATTCAAATCAAATAGTTGAAATGTTCTGATTAGAACAATGAAGAGTTGGTATAATGTTTTTTATAGTCAAGACAAATTTCAAAGGGAATTTATAGAATATTATGGGAGCTTATATTTACATATATCCCCTTATATTTTTTCATTTAGTTTCTGGCCTGTGGGTAATCCCCCCAACATGTGCACCAAGGAAGGACAGCTGTGCAGACCCCAGGCACAATTAGTATCTGAAGTATAATTTACTGCTTATTTATCTCTATCTTATTTGTGTAATCATACTTAGTTCCACATAATCTCTCTATATAATCATATAAGGGTCTGTAGTCAGAGCTGTACAGACACATTTAGTGCTGATTTCCTTAATCCTTCTATATAACTGTATAGTCGTCTGTAGTAGGAGGGATGTCTAGAGCAGTCACAGAACAGAAGCAAGTACATGGGAAAACGCAGGCCAGGACAAGAACCAATGACCCAAGTGACAGCACCCCTGCCTGAAGGGGCATGTGCTATATGGCGGGTCAGGGCCTAGACGGCAGCACTGGGCACCCACTGCGTGGCCAGCTCGGAGTAAGAGTTATTCCTCCTGAAACGGAGTTGCAGTACCTTGCATCCCGTTCTTGTGGAAAGTAGGCCTCAGGCGAATAACTGAGGGAGAAGAACCCCTCTGGTATAATTACACCATGTTTTTGGACACCCTGTCAGCTTTTCTCGCTACTGTGCCGGCTAATCATCCTTCTATAATATAGCTCAGAGAAGAGCACATTCTGTCAGCTCCCACTGCATTGGTTTACAGCATCTTTCTATAGGAATTCTTTGAAGTCTCCAGCCCCCAGATAAGAAGTGTTGGGTACCGCACTTGTGGCACACAGCTCACCTCCTTGCCTTGGTGACCTAATGGGGGTGGACCACCTTTTTGTGCACAACCCTTTGCTACTGCGCACGGCACAGCCCCCTACTGCACACAGCCCACCTCTCTGACTAGGCGACCTAATGGCATGACCCTTTGCTTGCTACTCACATGATTATATATGCCCTATCATTAAGCCTATAGATGACCTCACTCCCGACCCTTCCCCCTGTCTTGTACTGAATAAATACAGATGCTTCTGGACGTTCAGGGCCTTGCCTGTCTCCACTTGTAAGTGGCGTGGCCCCCTGAGCCCAGCTGTCTTTTCCAGTCCTCTGTGTCCTGTCTCTTTACATCTTAGATCAAGTGCCTCAGCACAGCCATAGGGGACACCCCATGACCCTGTAGGGCTGTGGCCCTCCATTGGCCTGCTTTGTACTACTAATGGGAAGGAAGCTAGCATGTATCGAGTGCCTACTATATGTTAGGCAGTGTACTAGGTAGTATATAGACGGCCTCCTTTGAGCAGGCGTGTATATAAAGCTGTCCCTTGTGTTCTCAGTAGTTCTACATTAATATACATGTGCTACTAATGAACTGGTTTTGCAAATTAAGTATTGGATTACATACAGTCTGTCTAAACTCACATGGCTAGTAACTGGCATAGCTGAGATGAAAATATGGCTGACTGAATCCCATGCCCATTTCTTGCTCTGTGTATTAGTCTTTCTTTTCTTTGTAAGAGTTCAAATTAGTCAAGTAGCAGAAGTTGAATCTTTCAGGGGTGAAGTCAATGGTTATGTACCTCTAGCATTTCATCCTTGGCCTCTTGCCTAATTGTGAAATTACAAGGTGGTGTTACCAGGGATTCTCTTGGTTATGAGATAGGCTTTTTAAGAGACTAGAAAGATTTCTTATCTTTTGAGAATTAGTCTCAGATTCTGTTAATCTTAATCTGTCTGATTTTAACATTGGAAACAAAGACTAATGGAAGACCCAGATTCTGAAAAATCAGGACCTAAAATTGAAGGTTAGTTAGGAAAAGACAATGGAGCAAAATTAGTAGTTCCTTAATGATCTGTTTTTTCTTCTTTTAGTTTTCCTCCTGAATTTCATTATGTAAACAAAGATTAAAAACTTTTGTCATAATTATGTAAAATAATGTAATAAAATCTTTCATTTTGTTTTATTCTCAGATAGAATATAGTGCCTTGCATGTAGAAATGTTTTTTTGAATGAATGTGTTAACAAGCAAACTGACATAGCATTGAATGAATGTTTAATCATTCATTCAACAAATCTTTGTTGAATATCTGTATACCAAGCACTCTTCTAGACATGGAAAATGCATCACTAAGCAAGGCAGCCACAGTGTCTGCTCCATGGTAATCACTTTTCACTAAGGAAAACAGAAAATAGATGTGTTTTTTAAAATAAGGTATTTCAGATAGTGATAAGTGCCTCGTACTAGCATCACAGACACAAAATAGCCAGTGTAGACGTGAGCACATGAGCTCAGCCAGGTCGAGAAGCACAAAGGAAGCGTGTGCAGTGGCTGCTGAGGGATGACTAAAGGAGACTGGAGAAGGTGAAGGCACCCTAGCAGCAGAAGTGAGCAGATGATGGGGCTCCTACCAGCCAGCACTGGAGCGGGACGTTATTCCAGCAGCAGGAGGAAGCTCTGGACTGTGTAAAAGCCTGGGAATGTCAGGACCACATTTATAGCTAAACCGTCTTTGTTAGAGTGGTGTCTGCTGTCACGTGAATTTTCTATGACAGCCATGTGCCAAATGGACTGTTTTTATTTTGGGGGGGTAGTTTTTATTTATATATATATATATTTGCATTTCTTATAATTAGATGTTTTTAAATATTATTTTTTTCTTTTTTCTAGGAAGAAGAGTTGAGGAAAAGTGGAGAAGCAAAGTACTTCCATCTCAATGATGATCTCCATGTTCTCATTGAAGTGTTTGCCCCACCTGCAGAAGCTTATGCCAGGATGGGACATGCTTTGGAAGAAATCAAAAAGTTCCTCATCCCTGTTAGTACAGTTTTTCTTGATAGTTAATTTGTACTTTAAAGTCCTTTCTTTACTTTAATCCCTGATAATTCTTGTCTGTAACTGTTATTTGCATAGCTCCTTATCTGCTAAAAAGCTTTATGGACATCACCTCAAGTAGACCTTACAGTGTCCCTGTGAATTACCTGGCATTGCTCCTTCTTTATATATGAGGTGTTGGAGTTTTAGGGAGATTAAATAATAGGGCCAAGGTTACATGGCTAAAAAACTTGCAGAGCACAGTCACTAGTTCGGGTTTTGAAACTCTAAGTCCTACGATTTCATGTGACACTTGACAGTTTTTTGGTTCACCAACACAAAAGCATTAGGGCCTTCTGTGTGCCATGCACTGTGCTTGGCATTGGCATCCGGACTTGAATAAAAGTAGTCCCTGCCCTCATTTAGTATAAGATAGGATGTAATTTAGAGGAAAGAGAGACATCAACAGATGATTTCAGTACAACATGATAAATACAGTAACAGACATAATCACAATGAGCACAGAACGGATAGGGCTATTTAGCTTCTGCCTGGTATTTTGGATGTTTTGTTAAAGATTGACAGTCTGTTTTAACCCTTTTAAACACCCTGACATTGCTAAGGATGTGACAATTTAAAGGGAATACATCTCTACCTCTGTTAGCAAATGTTGATTGAAGTCTTTTGTGTGACTTGTATGCTCTTGATAAAAGGACTTTTTATGTCATTTGCATGCTCTTGATAAAAAGAATCATAAAGCATTCAACACTTTGGCTCTGCAGACAATGTATTTTATAGAAGCTGACACATCTGCCAAATAGCTTTCTGGGATAAGACTGTCTTTAGTCATCCCAGGCTAGTTTGGTGGATTGACTTACATACTATAGCACATGTATTGCGATTACATTATCTGTGAGGAAAACAATTATTACATTTATAGGGAAAGGATGTGTCACTATTGCCTTTAAAAAGCCAGGACATGGAATTGCATAAAATATGTAATAACCTGGGAACGTAAATAGCTAGTATTTTCTTTAGTTCCCACAAGCAAATGTGACAATCTATTTATTCATTTAGTTTAAAAACAAAATTTATAAGGGCTTACTATGTGATAGGCAAGTGTGAACTAATAAAAGACATGATCTCTCATGGAGTTTAATGGAAAAGTCAGATATGAATCAGTTTTTCATATAAATGACTACAAAATTGAAACTATGGCAAGACCACAGTTAAGGAGAGGTGTATGTTTTGTTGAGCATGCAGTGTGGACCACACAGTGTGGATCCAGCCAAGTGAGGCAGATTCTATTTTCCAAAGATGGCTGCAGTAGCACCTTTTATCCCATGACCTTTAAGTCCTTCACCCAGAGGTAGAAACTAATTTCCCTCATACCAAATCTGGACTGGCCAAAAGTGTCTTTGCCTAATGAAGGTCACTATGATTTTCAACTGTTTTCTTTTCAATGTTTTTTAGTATTCTTTCACTTAAAATCCATTTTGAGTTAATTTGTACATGTGAGGTTAGTCTCTTAAATTTATTTTTTTTCTAGATGGATATCCAGTTTTCCTAGCACCGTACGTTGAAAAGACACTTATTTCCTCATTCAGTACATTGGTATCATTGTTGAAAATTTACTAAACACAAATATAATGGTTTATTTCTGCATTCTTAAATTCTTTTTCATTGATTTATAGGCCTAGTCTTCCAGTAGTGTGCTCTTAATTACTTTAGCCTTAAGTGAATTTGGAAATCTAGGTTGTATAAATCTTCGAACTTTGTTGCTTTTCAAACTTTTTTTAGCTTTTCTGGCTTCTTAAGATTTTCATATATGTTTTAGGATCAGCTTCTTAATTTCTGTAAAACAAAACAAAGCTGGCTAGGATTTGATAGATATTATATTAAATTTGTAGATCACTTTGGGGATAATTTTCACTTTAACAATTTTGAGTTTTCCAATCAATGAACAAGAGATGTTTCTTCACTTTTTAAAAAAGATAACTTTCTACATTTTTCTCAACAGTGTTATATAGTGTTCAGGGTGTCAGACTTTTCCTTTTCTTTTGCAAAATTTATTTGTAAATATTGTATACTTCTTGATACTATTGTAAGTGCAGCTTTTGAAATTTCATTTTAGATGGTTACTAGTATACAGAAATACAATTGATTTTTGTATATTGATTTAGTATCTCATGATCTTGCCGAATGTGTTTATTAGTTGCAGTGTGGTGTTTTTTAATGGAATCATTACAATGATTAAGTGGAATCCTAATTAGTGAAATACAGGAGCATGTCATCTATGAATAAAGATAATTTTACTAGTTCCTCTTCAATATGGATGCCTTTAATTTTTTAAAATGTAGTATTGTTATTTTCTGTTCTGTTCCATTCCTTATTACACTGACTAGAACCATCAATGCAGTTGTTGCTAAAATTAGGGGGAAAGCATTCAGTCTTGCACCGTTGCCTATAGGCTCTTTTTTATTGCTGCCCTTTGTCATGTCGAAGTTCTTTTATATTTCTAATTGGTGAGAGTATCATGAATATGTGTATAAATATGGATATTGAATTTTGCAGATCTTTTCCCACCTGAGATTATTGTGTGGTATTCATCTCATTTACTTTGTTAATAACAGTGTATCTCATTAGTTGATTTTCAGATGTGAAGCCCAATTTGGATTCTGAGGATAAATCCCACTTGGTCATGGCATATAGTCTTCTTTAGAGTCGCTAGATATGGTTTACTAATAGTTTGCTAAGAATTCTTGCATCTGTAATTATGAGGGATTTGTAGCACATTATTTGTAGCACTGGTTTGTAGCACAGTATTTTTCTGGAGTCTTTTATATTAACTTACACTGTTTCTGGTGCCCTTCATTTTTTCCTGTGGATAGAGTTGCCATATGGTATTATTTCTTTTCAGCCTGAAGGTTTTTCTTTAGACTTTTCTGTAACCTAGGTCTGCTAGCAAAAAATGTTTTGTTCTTCCTAAAATACAGGTTATATAATTATTGGTTGATAGTTTTTGGTTTTCGTTTGTCCAGCACTTTGAATATGCTACTCTGCCACCTTCTGACCTCCGTTACTTTTGATAAGGGGAGTCGTTAATCGTTTTTGCTCTTCTACTGTATATAATCTGTTGTTTTTTGCTTGCTGCTGTCAAGTCTTTCTGCTTCTGGTTTTCAGCAGTTTGGCTGTGATGTACATGTTCATCCTATTTGTTGACTAAGCTTTGTGCATCTGTAGGTTTATGTTTTTCATCAAATGTGGAAAGTTTTCAGCTATTTAAACTTTTTCTGCTTTTCTACCCCTCACCACACCCCCTAATTCCAGTTACATGTATGTTGATACATATGGCAGTGTCTCATGGATTTCTGAGACTCATTTTTTTTCATCCTTTTTTTCTCTGTGTACCTTAGACTGGGTAAGTTTACTGGACCAATCTTCAAGTTAACTAATTCTTTTGCCAGCTCATACCTGCTATTGAACTCCTCTAGTAAATTTTTCATTGCAGATAATATGATTTTAAATTTTCTTTTGTTGCAAGTGCAATATCTGGGCCCTCTCCAAGACAGTTTCTTTGTACTGCTTTTCTCCCCTTGAATATGGGTCACGTTTTCCTGTTTCTCTGCATGTTTCTTAGTTTTTGTTGAAAACTATTTTAGATAACATATTATAGCAAACCTATAATCTGATTTATTTTCTTCCCAGAGGGGTTATTTTTGTGGGAGGTGATTATTTTTTTTTTTGGTCTTCTGTTTCTTTAATAATTTAGTTGGACTAAATTTGCAGTCTGTCTTCCTCATAGTCACAGCTAATAATATCTCTTTTAACATGTTTTTTCTTGGTTTTATTTTCAAACCTGGCCTGCTAGAGATGTTGTGTGTATCAGCACTACTTAGTGGACAGCCAAGGGGAGGCAGGGGGAGCTTGTGCTCAGATACCTGTGTTAGGGAGGTTTCCATCCTCTGAAGATGGAGCTGTGTGTGTACACAGGGGAGTGGATCCAAAGAAGACTCTCATCCTGTCTGCCCTGGCTTTTCCCTTCCTCCAGGATTCCTCCTGTCTCCCCTCTCCTTTAGGAGAGGATGTCTGGAGAGCTTTGTCTCACTCTCTTGCTGTCCATGCACATAGCCTTCTATCCAGCCAGAGGTGTGTAACGAGCTTCCCAAGACTGTCTTATTTCCTGAATCTTTGTCCAATTTCTGTCTAGCCTGTTGGTCAGTTTCTTGATGCCACCCAAGACGGCAGGCAATACTAGGTGCATCCCTAGAGAAGAAGGCCAGACTCCCTTTTTCCTACCTGAAAGGTAGCACTTTTAAATGAATAAATATATTGTATTTTCAGTTTAGTATTTTGACCATTAGTCAGTTTTCAGACTCCTAAAATGGTTACTTTTGACCATTTGTCAGTTTTTATTTTGCTTTTCAGAGCAGAGGCTTTGCTGAGCTCCTCCCTTAGCTGTACCAGAAGTCACATGTCATATCAATTTAACCTATGTGGTTTTGGACATTGTTCCTATGAGAATATATAGTTTTACTTCATTCTTTTTAAGGTCTGCATAATATTTCATTATATACATGTTAGAGAGTTTATTTAATTGGTCCTCAAATAATGAACATTAAGGTTATTTTTTATAGGTCACAATAGATACAGTGATCCTAAGATTAACCTCAGACATAAATATTGGCCTATTTTGGCAAATATATCTGTAGAGTAAATTCCTAACAGAGAGCCCACTGAACTTCAATGAGTTTGTTTTAATGCTTTCATTTAAAAACTTTTTCTCCATTCTTCAGGCTAAAATGCATTTGAATAGATTCTAAGCTCACTGGATAGTCAAGTCCTGCTTACACATACTTAATCAAAATTTTAATCACATTTTCCCTCATTACAATTCATAATGGTGTTAATATTATAATAGTTCACTTTTCAGACAGGGAGTTAAAATGATAATTTAAAATGTAAAATTACTAAAATAAGTTTATCTGTAAGCTACTATGAAT